CCTGACCACTGAGTCTCCTCCTGTCCCTGCGTCCGGTCAGGTAGCAGCGTCAGGTCAGGTGTTTGCTGCTGCGTCCAGGTCTGGTCCTGAGTCTGCCCCCTGTTCGTGTCGCCTCCTGTCTCACGAGACTCTCCTGTGGCACCACCGTCTTGGCCACCCCTCCTTGCCCCGCCTTCGGGGCATGGCTTCCCGTGTCCTTGTCTCTAGTCTTCCCCAGTATCTCCCTCCCCTTCCTTCGGGACCAGGACCTTCCTGTGTCCCCTGTGTCGAGGGGCGCCTCAGGGCTGCTCCTCACTCCTCCCAGTTTCCCCCGACAGAGGCTCCTCTGCAGACACTTCACATGGACGTGTGGGGCCCGGCCCCCGTCCGTGGGCAGGGTCACGAGCGCTACTTCCTGTTGGTGGTTGACGACTACTCGCGTTACACCACAGTCTTCTCCTTGCGCAACAAGGGTGCTGTCACTGAGGTGCTGATCGACTGGATCCGCGAGGCTCGTCTCCAGCTCAGGAGGAGCTTCGGCTCGGACTTTCCTGTTCTGCGTCTGCACTCTGACCGAGGTGGGGAGTTCTCCTCTCGCCTTCTGCGAGACTACTGTCGTGCACAGGGGATCCGCCAGACCTTTACGCTTCCGGACTCTCCACAGAAAAATGGGATTGCTGAGCGCCGCATTGGCATGGTCATGGATGTCGCTCGTACGTCCATGATGCATGCGGCTGCCCCCCATTTTTTGTGGCCGTTTGCGGTTCGGTACGCGGCGCATCAGCTCAACCTTCACCCCAGGGTCTCTCGGCCCGCGATGTCCCCAGTGTTACTGTGGACGGGGAAGGTCGGCGATGCGTCTGCGTTCCGTGTCTGGGGATCTCGGGCGTTTGTCCGCGACTTGTCTGCGGACAAGCTGTCCCCCCGTGCTGCTCCCTGTGTCTTCCTTGGCTTCCCCTCTGATGCTCCAGGGTGGCAGTTCTACCACCCCTCCTCTCGTCGTGTTCTGTCCTCCCAGGACGTCACGTTCGACGAGTCAGTCCCCTTCTACCGCCTCTTCCCCTACCGTACTCCTTCCCTCCCCCCCCCACCGGACTTCCTGGTGCCAGTTCCCCCCCCGGTAGACCCCCTCCCCCCTCAGGTTCCTGCCCCTTCAGGTGTGTCCCAGGTAGACACAGTCGAGCCAGTCGAGGTTGCTGCTGAGTCTGGTCATGTTGCGGGTGCAGAGTCTGGGGGTGCTACGCCTGCGGGTGCTGAGCTTGGGGGTGCTGCTGCTGGGGGTGCTGAGCCTGGGGGTGCGAGGCCGGGGGGTGCTGAGCTTGGGGGTGCTGCTGCTGGGGGTACTGAGCCCGGGGGGTGCTACGTCAGGAGCTGCTGAGCCTGGGGGTGCTGAGCCTGGAGGTGCGGAGCCTGCGACTGCTGGACCTGGGGGCTCTCCGGTTGCTCCGTCTCGGCGGGAGCCGCTCTCTCCACAGGAGCTGCGCGAGTGGTTTGCTCGCCGCTGGAGGCGTGCTGCTGGAGCTGGAGCTCCTTCGACTGCTGAGGGTGCTGGTGCTGCCGGTCCCGGAGCTGCTGGGCCTGCGGGATCCTACTGGAGCTGGAGCTGCTGAGCCTGGGGGTGCTGAGTCTGGAGCTGCTGAGCCTGGGGGTGCTGAGTCTGGAGCTGCTGAGCCTAGGGGTGCTACGTCTGGAGCTGCTGAGCCTGGGGGTGCTACGTCTGGAGCCGCTGAGCCTGGGGTTTCTCCTGGTGCTGCGTCTCGGCGGGAGCCCCTCTCTCCACAGGAGCTGCGCGAGTGGTTTGCTCGCCGCTGGAGGCGTACTGCTGGAGCTGGAGCTTCTTCGACCGTCGAGGGTGCTGGTGCCGCCGGTCCCGGAGGTGCTACGCCTGCGGGCCTACTGGAGCTGGGGCTGCTGAGGGCGTTGGTGCTGAGTCTGCTGCTGTCTGTCCTGACGGTGGTTCTGCTGCTGGTGTTGCTGGAGGTACTGCCGCTGGAGGTGTTGGTGGCGCTGGTGCTGCCGCTGAGGGTGCTGGTGCTGTCCCTGCTGAGTCTGGAGCTGCCGCGCGGCCTCGGGCGTACTTCGTTCCGCTTCTGCAGCAGGTTCTTGGTCTTTCTCCTCCGGTAGAGTGTCCACAGCCTGTCCAGTCGCAGTCACTGTTGGAGCCTACCTCCCCACTGCCTGCTCCCTCTCCTTACATTGGTCCTACTGGAGGTCTTACTGAGCGTCGTGAGCCTGCGTCTCGTCCCGCGTCGCCTGTTCGTGCTGCCCGCGCTAGTGGTCGTGGTTCGCGTCCGCGTCCTCCTCCTGTCCCTGGCACGCACCGGATGTCTCTGCGTCCGTCCACTGCTCCTCTGCGTGCCCTTTTGCCTTCTCCTCCTGAGTCCTCCCTTCCTGTGCTTACCGACCCAGAGCCGGACTCCCTTCGTGCTGCCAGTCCTACCGTCACGCGTCTGCTTGCTACTGTCGTCACTGACCCCTCTTTTGAGTCCGCTGCTGCGTCTGCTCTTGTCGCTGAGCTCGTCGACTTTGCTGCTCGCTGTCGTCTAGACTACGCTGCTAGTCTTGTTGCTGAGTCTGCGTCTGTCTGTCCTCCGTCCGTCGGGGGTGAGTGTGCTCTTGGCACGGACGTCCTAGAGGACAGGCAGGAGGAGTTCCAGTGTCTGGCTGCTGCTTCACCTCATCTCGCGTCTGTACTGCTTGCTCCTGAGGGAGACCCGGATGCACTAGACATCCCGACTCCGCGCTCTTACGCGGAGGCCGTAGAGGGTCCCTACTCCTCTCAGTGGCAGGCAGCTATGGATGCAGAGATGGCTTCCTGGAAGTCCACAGGCACCTACGTTGACGCGGTTCCCCCTCCTGGGGCGAACATCGTCAGTGGCATGTGGATCTTCAGAGTGAAGCGGCCGCCGGGCTCTCCACCTGTCTTCAAGGCGCGGTACGTCGCTCGTGGCTTCAGTCAACGGCAGGGAGTTGACTACTTTCAGACCTTCTCTCCCACCCCGAAGATGACCACTCTTCGGGTGCTGCTGCACATAGCCGCTCAGCGCGACTACGAGCTTCACTCTCTCGACTTCAGTACTGCGTTCTTGCAGGGGAGCCTGCACGAGGAGATCTGGCTGCGCCGTCCACCTGGCTTCACTGGGACTTTCCCTCCTGGCACCCAGTGGAGCCTCCGATGGCCAGTCTACGGTCTCCGCCAGGCACCACGTGAGTGGCACGACACACTGAGGACTACGCTTGCGGCCCTTGGGTTTGCTCCTTCTACTGCTGACCCGTCGCTGTTTCTGCGCACCGACACTTCACTGCCGCCGTTCTACATCCTCGTGTACGTCGACGACTTGGTCTTTGCCACAGCGGACACTGCTGGACTCGCCTACGTGAAGTCCGAGCTGCTGAAGAGACACACGTGCACAGACCTGGGTGAACTGCGCAGCTACCTTGGCTTGCAGATCACTCGGGACAGAGCACGCCGCACCATTACCTTGACTTAGTCACACATGGTGCAGCAGGTCCTTCAGCGCTTCGGCTTCACGTACTCCTCGCCTCAGGCCACTCCTCTGTCTACTCATCACTCGCTCTCAGGTCTGCCTTCGGATGAGTCCGTAGAGTCGAGTGGCCCGTACCCAGAGCTTGTTGGCTGCCTCATGTACCTGATGACCTGCACACGACCTGACCTTGCATACCCTCTTAGCATTCTTGCACGCTATGTTGCTCCTGGGAGACACCGACCAGAGCACATGGCTGCAGCGAAGAGGGTATTGCGCTACCTGTGCAGTACGTCGGGCATGGGGCCAGTGCTTGGAGGGCAGATTCCAGTGGTACTTACAGGTCACGCGGACGCTTCTTGGGCTGACGACCAGGCTACGCAGCGGTCGTCACAGGGTTACACCTTCAGCCTTGGCTCCGGCTCTGTCTCGTGGCGGGCTACTCGCTCGTCTTCGGTTCTCAGCTCGAGTTGTGAGGCTGAGATCTACGCAGGGGCCATGGCTGCACAGGAGCTTCGCTGGCTCACCTACCTGCTGACTGACCTTGGAGAGCCGCCTCGTTCTCCTCCAGTGCTGTACGTAGACAACAAGGCCATGCTGGCCTTGCGTCGAGAGCAGCGTCTGGAGCACAGAACGAAGCACATTGCTCTTCGCTACTTCCTTGCTCGTGAGCTACAGCAGCGTGGACAGTTGCGGCTTGCGTACGTGGCCTCTGAGGCCAACACTGCTGATGTGTTCACCAAGGCACTCGCGCCTTGTGACCATCAGCGCTTCTGCACCCAGCTGGGTCTTGTGCCTGTCTTGCCTCACTTGCTCTCCTCTTGACTTTACTTGTATTGTCACATATATATACCTGCTCTTGCTTCTCTAGCTTTATATATATATGTGTGTACTACTGCATGTGAACTGGCCTTGTGGCCTTGTTCTTGTGCTCGGACTGTGTGGTGACTTTGTGATCCACCCTGAGCTTTGCTTTGCTTTGCTTGACTGGTCTTGTGACCCCTTGTTCTCCCCCACTTTGCCTATGGGGATGTGTCAGAACATATATGTAGCTTATGCTGTTGTGTAGGCTACAGTGGGGTGTCCCATAGGGGGTACAACCCAATTAGGGTTTTGCTATTTGGACCCAACTCTTTCATAGTGCATTCATTCTCGTTCTATTCTCCACAGGAGTAGCAGTAGTAGCAGGAGAAGTAGTTGCTGCACGTGGGGCGGCGCGGCTTGGTCAGGGCGGCGCGATTCGGGCGGCGCGACTCGGGCGGCGCGGCTCGGGCAGGGCGGCGCGGCGCGGCTCGGACTAGGCTACGCGGCATGGCGCAACGGTGGGCCTGCGCGTGGGCGGCTGTAGCGGGCGATCCGTGGCTGTGCGTGGGCGGCGGCTTACGAGGGCGACGCGGCGGCCTACGGGCGGGGCTGCGGCGCTCTGGATGGCCAGGAGGGCTGGTCGACGGGCGGCTAGCGGGCTGTTCGTGGCGGCACTAGTCGCGCGGGCGGCTAACAGTCGGCGCGCGCGCAAAAAAGGCCGCGCGCGGGCTGCTAGCGGGCTCGTGCACTAAAAGAAAAAGGGCCGCGCACGGCACTAGCGAGCTGCGCACGGGCAGCAGGAGAAGGAGAGGCGCACGAGGGCGCACTAGGAGAGAGGCGCTCGAAGGCGCTAAGTCGATACGGCGCTCGAGGGCGCTTGGTGATGCCTTTCAGCAGCTGCAGGTCGTGATCGTCCCGCCACTGTCGCGTGCGGAACAGCGGTGCCAGCTGGCTGTGGCTCTTCAGGTGCTCTGGCAGCCCCGGCAGCAACTCCTCCCAACCCAGCTCCACCGCTTCCTCCTCCTCTTCCAACCCCTCTTCCTTTTCACCCTCCTTGTCACCCTGCTTCTTTTCACCCTCCTTCTTTTCAACCTCCTCTTCTCGCTCCTTCTTGTCACCCTCCTTCTTGTCACCCTCCTTCATGTCACCCTCCTTGTCACCCTCCTGCTTTCCACCTTCTCCCTCTCCCGTCTCTCCCTCTCCAGTATCTCCTTCACCCTTCGCACCCGGCTCACTGTTTCCCTCCTCCCGATTCTCATGCCCCTCCCCATCTCCCTCCACGCCCCCCATTTCTGAAGGTCCATCCCCCTTCCCTTCCCCCACCACCCCTCCACGCCCCCTCTCTCCCTTCTTACCCCCTTCCCCACCAGCCAAAGTCACGCCCTCCATTTCTGAAGGTCCATCCCTTTTTCCTTCTCTCACCGCGCCTCCGCACACTTCCTCTCCCGCCTTCCTGACAGCCTCTTCTTTCCCAGAAGGTGCTGCTGCTGCTGCTGCTGCTACTGCTGCTACTGCTGCATCTTTTGTTGCTGCCTCTCCCGCTGCTGCCACTGCACCCCTACGCTCTGCACCACTCGCGTCTGCACCCCTCTTTTCCACACCCCTTCCCTCTGCACCCCCACCTTTGGCCAGCCTCCTCGCCCTGACCCTCTCCCGCAGCCTCTCCCGGGTGCTCTCAGCCGCGGCCACCTTGATGCGAATGAGGTGCAGTAGGGCCAGCCGGATGAGCACCTCCTGCGGATTCACGCCCTCCTTGGGCACTCCGTCTGGTGGAGGGGGGAGGACGAAGGAGGTGGGGAGGGAGGAGAAGAGGAGATGGGGATGGGGATGGGGCAGTGAGAGGGGAAGGAGAGGGGAATGAGATGCTGAGTGAGGACATTGCCCAACCTTCACAATGTCCTCACTCAGCATCTCCCATCTCACATCCTTCAACAAGTTCAGCATCTTCTCCCCTCCACCTCCACTCCCACCACTCCCACTCCTCCTCCACCCACACCTCCGCCTTCAGCCCCTCCCACTCACTACCCTCCACCCTATGCTGGCTGGCCTTACCCTCCTTACCCACCTCCCGGATATGGCCATGGCCCCCCGGCATCTGCTGCTAATGCTGCTGAACAAACCTCCTCCTCCATCAACCCTCCTTGCTTTACTCCATTTCCCTCTACTGGATTCATAGGACATGTTAGCACTGCTTCTGCTGATTCTCTGTATGCCCATGCTATCAATAAGCCCCTCTTCCAGTATTCCGCCTACTCCTTCTCCTCAGCATGCCTTGAGTTAATCCTTGACAGTGGAGCCACACACACTGTCCTTCGGAATGCAGGCACACTGGTACCTCTCCCCAATCCCTCCACTATCTATGGAGCTGACTCCAGCTTCACCATCACAAGTCGACACACCTCCACACTCCCTTGTCCCATCTTCTCCTCAGGTATAGTCACAGGTCTATATATCCCCTCCCTACGCAACAATCTGGTAGCACTTTGTGACCTCACCAGGTTCGGTATCACCGCCCTCTTCCCTGGTTATGCACGTCACTGCGACCTCTTTCATACCTCCACTGGCCGCTTCATCTGTCGCATTCCCCTCTGCCCTCACACTAACATGTACACATACTGCACCCCTCGCACCTCCATCCACCACCTCATCACCCTCTCGGCACCCCTCCCCTCTCCCTCACCTCCCCTCTCCCCCCCCCTCCTCTCCTCCCATCCCCTCTTCCCCCCCACCCCACCACTCCTCCCACTCCCCCCACTCCCCCCCCTCCCCCACCCCCTCATGTCAGTGTCGTGACCTCACCCACCCCGCAGTTCTCCTTCACCATCGGTTGGGTCATCCCAACTTTGCCACCCTCCGTCAAACTGTCTCCACCAAACTCCTCGACGGACTCCCCCTCACCCTCTCCCCTCTCCCCCCGTCACCCTCCCCTCCCTGCTCAGTGTGCGTTGAAAGCAAACTGAAACAGGCCCCCCACAAGAGTCATCCCTCTTTTTCTCCCCAGCCTCTTGATCTCGTCCACTTGGACGTCTGGGGCCCCAACCCTTCCCCCACCAGGCAAGGTCATAAATACTTGCTCATCCTGGTGGATGATCACAGCCGCAACTCCTCCGTCTCCCTCCTTCGCACGAAGACAGAGGCCCCGGCTGCTATTTTTGCCTGGGCTGAACAAGCACGCACCCATTTCAAACGTCCGGTCTCCTGCTTCTACTCTGATGGTGGTGGTGAGTTTCTTAACATGCTCTCATCCTACTGCACCACTCGTGGCATTATTCACACCTACACCCTACCTCATTCCCCTCATCAGAATGGCGTGGCGGAAAGTAGGGTCCGTGAGGTCACCAAGACTGCTCGGTGCCTCATGGTCCATACCTCCTACCCGCCCTCTTTCTGAGGCTATGCCATCCTCCACGCTGCCATCCTCACTAACTTGTACCCTCATACCTCCCAGCCCACCACCACTCCCACTGCACTCTGGACATCCAAAAAGCCCGACATCACCCCCCTGCGCGTGTGGGGTTCCATGGCGTATGTTCTCATACACCCTGTCGACCGCTCACGCAAAGCTGGGAAGCTAGCCTCTCGCACTCTGTCAGATTATTATAGCTGATGCATGTTTGTAGGCTATAGTGGGGTAGCACATATGGGGTACAGCTTTCTAGGGTTGTATTTGTACCCAACTCTGACTTAGTCATTTTTCATTCCTTGTCATTTATTTCACATGGTATAGAGCGAGTTCCCTGTGGGAACGTTGCCTAGGGCCCACCGAAGCGCGCCCCGAGGCGCGCATTTTTTTTTAGCGACCCCTCGAGTCGCCATTTCCCTCGTGGCCCCGCCGTCCCTCAGACGCGGCCCCGCCACCCCTTCTGATCGCGGCCCCGCCACCCGATCCCGGCCCCGCCGCCACGTCGCGGCCCCGCCGCCCGATCGCGGCCCCGCCGCCCGCTACGACGCCGCCCCGCCGCCTGCTCTGACGCGGCCCCGCCGCCACCTCTTACGCGGCCCCGCCGCCACCTCTGACGCGGCCCCGCTGCCTGATCTGACGCGGCCCCGCCGCCACCTCTGACGCGGCCCCGCCGCCTGATCTGACGCGGCCCCGCCGCCGCCTCTGACGCGGCCCCGCCGCCTGATCTGACGCGGCCCCGCCGCCTGATCTGACGTGGCCCCGCCGCCGCCTCTGACGCGGCCCCGCCGCCTGCTCTGACGCGGCCCCGCCGCCCACTACGACGCGGCCCAGCCGCCGACTACGCCGCGGCCCCGCCGCCCGCTACGCCGCCGGCCCCGCTGCCTGCTCAGCCGCGGCTCCGCCGCCCTCTCTGCCGGCTCCGCCGCTCCACCAGCCGCGGCCCCGCCGTCCCCGCCGCTGCACCTACCGGCCCTGCTACTTCGGCCCCGCTGCCCCTGATCTCGTGGCCCCACCACCCTACCTGCAGCACCCGAGCCGCCCACCTGCAGCAGCCGAGCAGCAGTGCAGCCGAGCCGCCCCGCACCCGAGCCGCCCTGCCGCCGAGCCGCCCGGGAGCCGAGCCGCCCTACACCCGAGCCGCCCTGCCGCCGAGCCGCCCGGGAGCCGAGCCGCCCTGAACCAGAGCCGCCCTGCCGCCGAGCCGCCCGGGAGCCGAGCCGCCCAGCAGCCGAGTCGCTGAGTCGCCGAGCCGCCCTTCTGCAGAGTTGCCCGGCCTGCCCTGCCTGGTGAGCACAGTCCCATTGTCACTGCGTGCTCTTCCCCTACTGCTTGCACTGCTTCGCTGTCGTCGTCATGGCTACCCCTAGTGTCCTAGCTTTTGACGCTGAGGGTCGCGCCATTGACTTTGAGGTCTGGGTAGACGACCTGCAGTTGTTTTTACAGTGCGATAGGGCAGACGGCCTCTCTCTCTTTGACCTTACCTCTGGCGCCTCTCCTGCTCCAGCTGCTGATGCTGATCCCACTGTGCGCTCTCAGTGGGCCACCCGCGATGCTGCTGCACGTCTTGCTGTGCGTCGCCACCTCCCTACCTCTGAGCGCGCGCACTTTAGTCAGTACAAGAGTGCTCAGACCTTGTACGACGCTGTAGTTGCGCGCTACTCCTCCCCTGCCACTGCTGCACTGAGCCGTCTCATGCTTCCCTACCTCTTTCCTGACCTCTCTGCCTTTCCCACTGTCGCTGACCTCATTACGCACCTCCGCACTAGTGACACTCGCTACCGCGCCGCCCTTCCTGCTGAGTTCTGCGCAAAGAACCCACCCCCCATGTACATCACTCTCTACTACGTAGTCGCACGCCTCCCTGACTCCCTTCGCGTAGTCAGGGACCACTTTCTCGCAGTCTGTCCCACCACCCTCACCGTCGACGTCCTCGAGAAGGCCCTCCTAGCAGCGGAGAAGAGCATAGTCGCTGTAGGAGCTTCTCGTGGAGACCCTCGCACCCCCATCTTTGAGGGGTGCTCTCCTTCCCCCTTGCTGCCCTCTGTTGCCGCTGCTGCTGCTGCCGACCTGCTTGGTCTTGAGTCGGTCGGCGCGGCGTCTGCCCCTAGTGGGAGACGTCGCTCTGGCAAGGGCAAGGGGGGCAAGGGCGCCGGTGGAGCTGGAGGGGGCGGTGGCGGTGGCGGCGGAGGCGGCGGAGGGAGTGGGGGTGGCGGCAGGAGTGGTGGCGGGGTTGGTGGTGGTGATGGCAGCAGCGGCGGAAGCGGCGGTGGTGGTGGCAGCGGTGGTGGTCGTGGCAGCGGTGGTGGTGGTGGCAGCGGTGGTGGTGGTGGCAGCGGTGGTGGTGGTGGCAGCGGCGGAGGTGGAGGCGGCGGAGGAGGCAGCGGAGGAGGCGGTGGTGGTGGAGGGGGTGGAGCTGGTCGGGGTGGTACCCAGCAGCGGAGCGGCGGTGGTGGTGGCCAGCGCTCGCAGCAGCAGCAGCAGCAGCGTTCGCGGGACATCCCTCCGCCTCAGCAGCTTCGTGAGTGGTACACTCAGCGTCAGAGGGGTGGGGGTACTGGTCCTTGCACCTACGTCCTTCGTTCCGGCGACGGCGCGGGTGAGCAGTGTGGGGGTGCCCACCCCACTCAGCGCTGTTTTGGCCGCCTGACGGACGCTTGGCGTCAGCAATTCCCCGGGGCTAGTGAGATCCCTCGCTGGGATGAGCTTCTTAGGGCTGGTGTAGCGATCTTTGATCTTGATTTTGATGCTATCCTTGCTGCTATGTATGCTGTGACTATTAGTGAGGAGACTGAGGGTTACCGGTGTTTCCAGCCCGACCCGGGCATTGGTCCTGCTGCGCTAGGTGCTTGTGAGGCTGCTGCTCTAGGTGCCAGTGCGTCTGCGCTCTCAGGTACTGGTGAGACTGCGCTCTCAGGTACTGCGTCGCCCTCGTCCTCCCTTACTTTCACACTTGACTCTGGGGCTTCTCGCTCCTTCTTTCGAGATCGCACCACCCTTACGCCGCTTGGCCGGCCGGTTGCCGTCTCCCTGGCTGACCCCTCTGGGGGTCCTGTCCTCTCTCACTTCTCCACTGTCCTCCCGTGTCCGGCTGCCCCTTCGGGCACCCTGTCAGGTCTGTACCTTCCCTCGTTCTCTACGAACTTGGTGAGTGGCGCGGACCTGCAGGATGTGGGGGTTCACCAGTTCACTCCTGCGAGTCAGCGGGTGACCCACTGCACGGAGGCACGCACAGGCCGACACCTGGCCACGTTCTCGCGTCGGCCGGGGTCGAGTCTCTACACCCTGACCGTTGAGTCTCCTCCTGTCCCTGCGTCTGGTCAGGTGGCTGCGTCAGGTCAGGTGCTTGCTGCTGCGTCCCGGTCAGGTCCTGAGTCTGCCCCCTGTTCTTGTTGCCTCCTGTCTCACGAGACTCTCCTGTGGCACCACCGTCTTGGCCACCCCTCCTTGCCCCGTCTTCGGAGCATGGCTTCCCGTGTCCTTGTCTCTGGTCTTCCCCAGTCTCTCCCTCCCCTTCCCTCCGGGCCAGGACCTTCCTGTGTCCCCTGTGTCGAGGGTCGCCTCCGGGCTGCTCCTCACTCCTCCCAGTTCCCCCCGACAGAGGCTCCTCTGCAGACGCTTCACATGGACGTGTGGGGCCCAGCCCCCGTCCGTGGGCAGGGTCACGAGCGCTACTTTCTGTTGGTGGTTGACGA